ACAAAGAATATATTGGAATACCACAAAAATAATTCCGAGTGGCGTAGTGAATCCAAATTTATAAATCGAATTGTGGCATTATAAACATTTAGTTTCTTGGCGTCATCAAGAAACTTATTTAGTTAATATTGGAAAAGATTTACGTCTATTAATAAAAGCTTTAAAACATTTCTTATCTCCTGTAATGTTACAGTAGATTGATAATTTCTAAGGTTACATTATATTTTGAGAAATAAATAATGATATAAATTTTTGAAAGTTCTATTACTGTATTACCAAATTCGAGGGTTGGTCACGTGTCTTAACGATCTAGGCAATAATTAAAAGTTATAAATATCAATAACTTGACAAACTTCCAAAAAATCAAACAAGCATTACGTATTCTAATATAATATCACAGGGTAGTCGACTATATCAAATAGTCTTTGACATATGATTTTGTTTTAAAAGAAACGATATTTTTATTTCTTAGCTATAAAACAATGAGAAATGGAAATTTCAATAGCAATTACAAAGGGTTAGTGTCACTACGTACGTACGCACCAAGTGGCGCACATAGTATAACACAGAGTATTTACGTAATAGCTTGGCGAATAATTTAGCCGAGCAACACCATGGCTAAAAAATGGAAGTGGTAAATTGTCATTTTTGGAATAATCAACATATTGCTTATGGCAACGTTGTACAATTTGGGTTCTGGGCCTTTTCGAACTTTCCGGAGTACAATTCGAAAGACGTTTGCATTCTTGATTCTAAAAACGAAAGTTATGTATGTACGTGTCGTGCTCAGGCGCCAATTTTCCCAAATTAGAATTATTAATAAGGATTAATTTATAATTTTGGGCAATTAATGCTGATCGGTTAATGCTGGCAAAAAAAAATTAATATCCAAAGTACTCTGAAGGTTACGATATTACACTATATCAGATATGTTAAATCTCGGAAGAAGTTTGTCTGATTGGCTAATTTTCTGGATCTACCCGTGATCACCCGTGATGATCAACCAATCAAATTACATAATTTTAAAAAAACATCGCTTTAAACAAAAGAAACTTCATATGAATAAACCCATTAATTATAAATATACAAAAGAATCAATTAATTCAAATACATAGAAGGTAGGTCAATACACGCAAAGTGGTATAAAAGTGGTATTCATTATTAATAAACCAACTTATTAATACATTCTACAATCTGTAAACCAAAACTTGTGGTTGACAGACCAAAATACAACTCAAGAACCAAGTATATTCAAATATTAGACCCGGAGCTTCTTTTACAATAAACCTATTCTTGTTCAAATCAAATAATTAGTAATAATTTTTTTTAATCTAACATAACATGGCAATTTTTTAAAAAACGTTCCCACTTATCTTCTTTTTCAATATAAATTGAGATTGTCCAATAAATGGTAGGCATATTTTGTCTTCTAAGCGAAGTTCGCCGGGAGTATGATCATTTTTTGATTCTTTTGCACAGTGAATATTGACACCATTCTAAAGCTATGAATGGGCTTTTCGACGATTTTTTGTTAGTAAAACGTTGCGTTAGGGCATGGACAAAATCAAGTGATTTTAATTTACTAAGAGGCCATACCCCCTCCACCCCTACCTGATTAAAAATTAACCAAAAATTAACCAATCAAATTTATTATAACTTGATAAAACAAGAAACCCCCTCCTCCCTCTAAAATCAGCTGATTTCTGTCCGCTCCCTTACCAAAAATACTTTAAAGTATGTATATAAATAATTTCCCCGAACAATTGACCAATCAGGCAAAGTTGAGTTTTTGTTTTGCATAACATGGAATCAGAAACATTGGGTCGGTCGGTCGG